TTTTTTTTTTTTTTTTTTTGTACCGGGAATGGAACTCAAGGCCTCATGCTTGCCAGGCAGGCACTGCACCGCTGAATTACATCTCCAGCTTGTTTCTGTTTTTGAGTCAGGGTCTCACTTTTTAGTTCAGGCTGGCCTTGAATTCACTAAGTAGCCCAGGCTGGCCTTGAACTCACAGCAATCCTTCTGCCTCAGCCTTCAGAGTCCTGGGATTACATACCGGCATGCACTGCCATGCCCAGTTGTCTTTGCTGTCTTGTCTCTATACACCGCTGTTCTTTCCCTCCCCTCTGCCACTTCACCCTCCTTTAGAAGCTTTCCCTCATTACTCCTTTCCTTTGCCCTCCTATGCCCACAGTGACCCCAACCAGCCGGTGCCCCAGGACACCAAGTTCATCCACACCAAGCCTAATCGCTTCGAAGAGGTGGTGTGGAGCAAGTTCAACAGCAAGGAGAAGCAGTATCTGCACATTGGCTTGAAGCCACGTGTACGTGACAACTACCGCGCCAACAAGGTTGCTTTCTGGCTGGAGCTTGTGCCCCACCTGCACGGCATGCACAATGAGCTCTTCACCACCACCACACGGCTGCCTCCCTACGCCACGCGCTGGCCACCTCGTCCTCCCCCTGGTGCCCCTGGCACTCGCCGACCCCTACCACCTGCCACCCTGCCACCTGAGCCTGAGCTTGATCCAGGGACACCAAGGATCTACGACCGCTTCCCAGGGGACTCACGAGACTACTCCACGGAGCTAAGTGTCACCGTGGCTGTGGGTGCCTCGCTCCTTTTTCTCAACATTCTGGCCTTTGCTGCCCTCTACTACAAGAGGGACCGGCGGCAGGAGCTGCGGTGCAGGCGGCTCAGCCCACCTGGAGGCTCAGGCTCTGGTGTTCCTGGTGGGGGTCCTCTGCTTCCTGCCACTGGCCGCGAGCTGCCCCCAGAGGAGGAGCTGGTGTCATTGCAGCTGAAGCGGGGTGGTGGCGTCGGGGCGGACCCTGCTGAGTCCCTGCGCCCTGCCTGCCCGCCCGACTACACCCTGGCCCTACGCCGGGCACCAGACGACGTGCCTCTCTTAGCCCCCGGGGCCCTGACCCTGCTGCCCAGTGGCCTGGGGCCACCTCCTCCCCCACCCCCTCCTTCCCTCCATCCCTTTGGGCCCTTCCCTCCACCTCCTTCCACTGCTACCAGCCACAACAACACGCTACCCCATCCCCACTCCACCACTCGGGTATAGGGGGCGGCTTGGGGAGGCCCCCTCCTCCCCAGCCTTCCCCAACCCTGGCCACTCCAAAGGAAGGGAGGAAGACTTGGCAACGGGCTTTTCTCCTGTGGAGTTGTCACATGTCATCGAGCAGCATTAAGGTGGACATGGGATTCCTCACTGGGATGTGTGTTTTTCCCATGCAAAGAGGCCCATTATTTTCTCTGGACCTGGGCCTCTGAACAGCTAGGGGGGTGTTTTCTGCCTTCCTTTGGGACACCAGTCTTCGGTGTGTGGAAATGTGGAAGTCTTTTCCCACGTGGAGGCGTGCTTTCCTCATGAGGGGGTGTTTTCCCATGTGCAGGGTGAGGTTTTTTTTGCCGCCCTGGACACATGTTGGCCCCCTCAAATAATTTCTGCGGGGATTTGTACCCCAGAATCCTGTTCCCTTATGCCTTCTCTCACCTCCTCCCCTCTTTCATCTCCTGGAGACCCTGGAAGTGATGTGTTCACGTACAGTGACCCTTGGCCACCAGACGACCCATGGTGGTGCCTGGGGAACAGCAAGGAAATCACAGGCCCTGTACCCCTGCTCCCCCCTCACCCCAGCAAAGCATGTTTCTCCCCCATGGCACAAGTCAGATGAAGCACGTTCTCCCAGGGAGGTTCTCACCTTCCACAGACGACAGACACAGATTTCCTGCCAGGGGGACAGGAAGAGATCCGTGCATCCCGGTGCTGCCTGGAAACTTATTTTCCCATGGTCCAGGACACATTTCTCTGAGTGGAAACATGTTCTTGCATGTGGATGTGTGTTTTCCCAGGCAGAGGGTCCCTCTGTCCCCAGCACTTCCCTGCATCCCCCAGCCTCAGGCCCAGCACTCAATTCCTCCTCACGTAGCAGGTGGGAATAGATTTCAAACTGACAGAAGCTGAGGGGGATGTACAAACCCTGAGGGAGGCCTGGGGCCCTCCCTCTCCCAGAGAGGCTGAGTCTGGGATGGAGGGGTGTGGCAAATGCCACCCACAGAGGCCATGCATGTTTGACCAAAGCCCTCATGGGGCCTGGGGACAGCCTTTCCCTCAGTCCTCAGATCCTTGTTCATCCGTGCCAAACTGGGTAGACGGGTTTGAATGGGGTGGAAAGCTTCAGAATGTGCCAAGGATTACCCAGTCCTAGGCCAGGACAGGGTAGATGGTGGGGGCAAGTGAGATACTGGGTAGGGGGATATGGCAGCTAAGGGGCCCCCATCTGTGTCTCTTGTTCTCATCCTTCCCTCTCTGCCTCAGTTCCCCACTCTCCACCATCTCTGTCTCCCTTTTTGAAACTGTCCCCATCTCAGGGTCAGACCAACCTTGTCCCTCTCCTTCTTGGACCTGCCCCACCTACCCTGGCTGCCAGGGCCAAAGGAAAGGATCGGTGGAAGGCGGAGGGGAGGGAACAGAAAGGTTTTATAGGCAGGTTGGGGAAAGAATGAGGTCGGCTGTGCTAGGAGCAGATGGAGGAGGCTGTGGGGGACTGGGCTTGGGCAGACACCAGCAGGAAGAATTTGAAAGGAAATGTGTGAGACAACTTCCCAGAGGTCCTTGGGTTTGGGCCTCTGGAGAAAAGAACAGTGTAAGGAAGGGTGAAGGACACCAGTAGAGGGGGAGCAAATCCTCACTTGCTGTGTGGCTTTCTGTGGGATGTGAGTGCCAAATTAGGGGGTGGGTGCTGTCTTCCACTGATGCCCAGATCCAGAAACCCCGGTCTTGAGCCCCAGAACTTTGCCTCTTGACTGTCCCTTCTCCCACCTCCACCCATGGAAATGTAGTTCTTTTTTGGCCTTTCCCCCTGCCTGGTCTAGCTCCTCTTGGAACAGCCATGCCCTCTAAATGCTAGTGACCTGGGCCCTGAGCCCTATGGGCAGATGCCCCCAGAATAGGGGCATGGGAGGGCGCTGGGGGCCCCATGATTCAGCCACGGACTCCAATGCCCAGCCCCTCTTCTCTCCGGAACAATCCCACACACACCCCCCAACCCTTTGCGGCTCTGTACACATTTTTAAATCTGGCAAAAGATGAAGAGAATATTGTAAATATAAAAGTTTAACTGTTGGTTGTGCCTGCTTAAGTTATGTTAGAATGTTGGGGAACACCCTTGAAGTAAGCCTTGGGGATCTAAATTTCTGGTCCCCTTTTTTAGTGAACAGCTCTGAGGTCTGAGATGAAGGAGAGGTGGGTACTGAGGTAAGATTGCCATAGTAATGGGACTGGAGAGTTAAGATCAGGACCCCAGGCTTCCCGAGAGAGAAATCTGGTGTAGTTCTAGGAAGAGGGATAGGGACAGATGCCAAATAGGCCAGAGGGCCAGTGGGCTGGTCCAAGTAGCAAGCTGCAAGAAAGACATGCAAGGTCATAGGTTGGCCCCGCAAGCCCTGCCAAGCCTGTACTCAGGCTGAAGTGTCAACCTTCAGTCTAGAACTCTGAGAGTAGCCCCTTGGCACATTGTGAGGGAGAGCTCCAGCATCATTGTGACCCACCCACTCACCCTCAGGAACCTGAGTCAGGTAGGTGGGCTGGTGGATACTTGGCAGAGTAGGCTTGGGGCCTAAGGGCCCTGGCGGCCCTAGAGACCACCATGGCCATGGCTGAGCAGCTACAGCCTGGGTGGGCCTTGTATCACAGTCCCAACAACAACAACTGCCAGGACGTGGGCAATTCCATCCTACTGCTACTAGGCCTCATCATCTGCATTAATATCGGCATCAATATGGTGACCCTGGTCAGGGCAGGGCCAAGTGGGAGGGTGTTGGCGGGGGGCAAACACAGTGGCAAGGACCTGCCTGGGGTCACCATGTGCTCCTATACCTAGCTCTGGGGCCGAGTCCGTGTCATCTTACGCCGAAGGTTCCATATCATTTGTGAGAAAGGTAAGCAGGGCTGAGCACTGGAGGGACAGAAACCAGGCATTCTAGGCCCAGCCCTAAGCTGACCCCTTACTGTTGTACCCTCTCAGATAGCATAGCAGTGGGTGCAGCTTCTCTCCCCAAAGCTTCCTTCTCCTCCCTATAGGAGCCAGTCTACCCCCACCCAGCTTCACCTCTCCCTGATCCACAGAAACTGCTAAGTCATCCTCACCTGGGAAGCCAACCAAGCTGAAGAAGCAGAACTCCCCTGCAGTCCATCTTCGATGCACCATGGACCCTGTGAAAATGACCATGACCCCCCCGCCCACTCGTCGTCGTCGTCATCGCCATCAAGCCTCGCCATTGTGCTGTGCCTGCCACCAACTAGCTTGGACCCCTGATACTGAGGTTGAAAAGCCCCCACATCAGAACCCAACAATCTGTTCCCACCACTGGGAAGGTCCCAAAGACTGGGAAGGTTTCCAATCCACCCCAGAGCCCTGGGATTCCTGGACTCAGGACACTCTGGAGCCAGTTCCCCATACTATCCGCTTCCAGAAAACTGTAGAGAGAAAGCCACTCAAATCAGAGATCCGGTCAGAACAGAGCCTAGAGGCCTATGTATACCCGGTGAACCCCTCACCTCCCTGTGGGGAAGCTGTGAACCACAAGAACACTGGGGCAGGGGCAGAGGCTGAGGCCACACAGAGCCAGGCTGCCCCACCACCCTTCCTGGGCCCATCAATCATCCCTGAAATCCCTCGGCGACATTCCTCAGCCCGAGTAGTGTATGATGCCCGAGACGTGAGGCGGCGGCTTCGGGAACTGACCCGGGAAGTGGAGGCCTTGTCCCACTGCTACACCTTTGTGTCTGGATCCAACGCTGCTGAGGGGACAGGCAAGGACTGGGTGTATCGTTCTGTGGTGGGGAGGTGACGGGAAAAAAATAAAAAGGAGAGAGGAGGTAGTTCATGGTGGTGTGTAGGGGTGGGAGGCAGGGCCCACACAGAACCCACAAGCCCTGGTTGCTAAGGGAATGATCTCTCTGGCAACAGGACCCAAAAAGTCCTTGGGAACTTACATCAACCTGTTACCCTCACAGGCCCTGCCTGTCCTTGGCCTTCTTGATTCCAAGTGTTCCACCTCCCTCTCCTCTGTTTTCTTTAGTATCCAGAGAATCCTGCCTCCAAATCTGGCCCTAGGTCCTTAAATAGTTCTGCATTATAGAAGAGACCTCCACCCCCATGACCCTGGCTCCTCACAAGTCTGGTCCTTGCCAGACCTTAGGTGTAGGCTACAGCCACAAGGGGAGTCACAGTTCCCTCTTACATCTTTGGGTTGAGGAGGAAAGGGTCTGTAGTCCCTCACAGTTCCCCCAAAACAACCTAAAGTTTCTGTACCCTTATGCAGGCTTGAAGCAGAAGGTGAAACATGGGGAACACTTTTAAGAGTTGTTTTACCATAACATCGCACGCCTCTGTGACCTTGTTCCTATCCATGTCACAAAGAAGAGACTGAGGTTCAAAAGGCCAAGTGATTTTCTCATGGTCACACAGATACAAGGGACCTAGCTAATGGTCTCCAATGTTTCATCCCACTGCTCCTGCAAGGTAGATAATATTCCCACTGCCACCAAGTCAGACTAGCCGACCAGCATCTCTAACCTGCTTCAGTCTACCAATGATTTCATCAGAATATTCCATCCCTAGGCAGCAAGGAAACTTGAGCCCTACTCTACGCCTAGAGATTGGGATCATATGAAGGTGTACACATAAAGCCTGGGAATAAAGAGTCATGTGAGTGAGGCCAGGCTAAAGGAGCTGGACCTTACCTTCCATACTAGACAGATTCTGAGAATATGAGCAGACTTCCGTGAAACACCCTACTTCTCTATTCATTTACATTCAACTAATGTTATTGGTCATTTTAAACTGATTCCATTCATTGGGTACATACCGAGTTTCTACTATGTGCTTGAAGGCTTGACAGCAAATGTTCATTGGCCATTCCTGCATTTCTGAGTACTTTACTATGTAAACAAATTACTTGCCATTCTCAAAGAGTGCCACTTTCACAGACTCCAGTGACAAACCTAGTTTACATGGAAGATTCCTTTTGTCATATCAACAATTGCATCTGTTTTGCTGGGTGTGGTGGTACACACCTATAATCCTGCTACTCAGGAAGCTGAGGCAAGAGGATCACCACAAATTAGAAGCCAGCCTGGGCTACATAGTAAGATTCTGTCTCAAGATAAAACAAATTACATCTATGTTATGATTTGTTAATTGCATGTGGTTTTCTTAAGATGGCACCGGCCAGTTTTTCAACATGAAGTAGGTATGAGTCAGTGAGAGGATAGTTGGTTTGGAAGGAGAGAAACTATAGCTGGGATTGGTCCCTGGCAGGGGCAGGAATCTCAGCAAGGTGGAGCCCATAGACTGAAGCAAAGCAGCCAATTGGCTCAGGCACCTCCACTGCCTAGGGCTACAAGGAAGGGCTGGGCAAGGATATGTAGGAGAAGAACAATGACAGGAAAATCATCAGGACAGGGAGGAATTGATGTAGCAGAATGATTCCACAGGGAACTCTTGCTGTCACCCATCATCCAGTCACCTTATCTGCTAGCCCCAAACTAGGCATGAGATGGGATGCACCAACAGGCTACATAAGTTGCCACAATGTCTCAAAAGAGCAGTGATGAGCCGGGTATGGTGGGACATGCTTGTGATTCCAGAACTCTGGGAGGTTGAAGCAGGAAGGTTGTAAATTCAAGCCCAGACTAGGCAATTTAGCAATTTAGTGAGATGATGTCTCAAAAGGGGGCAGGGCTAGAGCCAGGTATGGTGGCATGTACCTGTAATCCCAGCACTCAGAAGGCTGAGGTTGCCATGAGTTCAAGGCCAGCCTGGTCTAGTGAGTTCAAGGCCAACCTGAACTACATAGTGAGATCCTGTCTCAAAGAAACAAAAAAGGCAGGAAGGTGGTGTATGTCTGGAGATGTAGCACATTGTGAAGGCCCTAGGTTCAATCCTTAGCACTCTTTAAAAAAGAAAGAAAGAGAGGAATAAAATGGAGGAAATCCTGTATACATGATTCAAACTCTGTGAAGATTGTCTCATGCCTAAGGCTGCGATATTTTCAGATCAGGAACTACATGTGGGGTTAAGCAAGCCTCACAGAGAGAAAGAGACAACTCTGGGATATCTGGAGACTGATTTCCATCATGTGGGAGAGGCAAGGGTAGAGATGGCTGTGTAAAGGGCAAGTAGAGTAGATAAGGGATCTGTCACCTCTGTATTGTGACTAACTTGTCTTATTATGACCTTGCTCCCTGCCTAGTTGGTTAGTGCCTCCAGGTAATGATATGAGTGCAGTGTGGATTGGGGGGGGTGGGCTCAGGACACCCCCCCCCATGGAAAACCAGCTCTGGCATGACACCCTGGGGTTCTGCAATCAATACCAAGAAAGCCCCCAGGATGCTGAGGACATCTTATTCTTGCTGCTGGGCCTCATCATTCTTGTCAACATTAGCATCAACATGGCAACTGTGGTCAGTGATGGTTGTGGACCACCTTAGGGGTGAAAAGGGCTGCGGGGGGAGCCATGGGCAACTTGCACCTCCATCTGAAAGAGTAATCTTGACTGGGGCAGGGTGGGTGGTACTGGGGGTGGGAGCCTGGCCTTCACTCCATCCCTCCCACCACCCCCAGATGTGGAAAGGGCTCCAGAATGTCTTAGACAAGATGGTCTATTGGATTAACCAGAAAAGTAAGTATGGCAGCTAGAATATAGGGCCCACCATCACCACCACCCCTATCCCCCATCTCCACCCCCACCACTGTGATCCTAAAAACCAAGTCCAGTATTCCCAGCCTGAACTCTGCTGCCAATGGCCTTGACCTCATGGACTCTTGCCTCCCCCAGATGAAGTCCAGGCTAGTGAATGTTTCCCTAAAGATCCTCCAGACAAGGCCCAAGATGTCCACATCCACTGCGTCCTGGACCCTGTACAAGTGAAGCTGGCCCGACCCACACACTTCTCCTCTTCCTCCTGCCACTATCTTCTCAACTGTCACAGTCGCCGCCACCGCCACCGCCGCTACCACCAGCAAAAGCCACAGAACCACAAACGATTCCCCAAGGGCTGCCCAATCTTTCATAACCAACCCTATGGCTACAAGATGTCACCACCACGGCCCGTGCCCTTTTTTGACCTAGAAGACCAGGACCCCTCCCTGGAGGAGTTAGAAGACCCATCTTTCCCAATTCTCAAGTACCCACGTCAGGGCAAGGGTGGGGTCTATCAGCGAATGGATGTACCCTCCATTGTGGGCCTGTGGGGGCGCCAGGGTGGAATTTTGGCCAGCTTGCCACCACCCTCTCTCTACTTGTCACCTGAGCTGCGTCGCTTGCCCAAGCACGTAAAGGCCAAGTCAGAACTGAGGCTGCAGTCCTGTGGGTCCCAAGGCTCACAATCCCAAATTTACAGCAATGTGGAGACCAAGCAGTGTACCCACTCCCTACTACCTACTCGTTGGCTGCCTCCTAACTCCTCCTGGGTCCCTGGGGGACAGAGCCCTTTCTCTTCAAAGGTCCGTGTACTTCGTGACACCTGGAATCAGCACCAGTGTGGTGTGGAGAGCTCTGAGCCCCCACCTTCCTTGATGTCCAGAAATGCCCAGCAAGAGACCCAAGCTTGCCAGGAGCACTGCTCCCCACAGTCCCAGGGATGGAGCCTCCTTGGCCATGTTCACACCCAGCCCAACTGTAGCCCACATCCATCGATGGGACACTCAGGTTTTGGATCCCGGGATGCTCACGAGATACGGGGCCGGGTGGCTGACTGGGCTGAGGCTTTGCCAGGGCGGCATCCTCTAACCACCTCTACTTCCCTCACGGTGTTGGGTGAAGCCTTGTACCAACGAGCCCCAGCTGCCAGCTCAGCCTTGCATCCTCCCTCCTCCCAGCCCCTGCCTGAAGTTGGCCAGGCTGTTGATCCCACCCCACCCTCAATCACCTTTGTCCCACTCAGACGGAATCCAGGGGGCAATACCAGCTACCAGGTGTATGACAGCCTGGAGCTGAAGAGGCAGGTACAGGAGAGCAGAATGAGGGCCAACTCATTGCCACCACCTTCCACCTCAACTTCCATGCCTTCTCTACACAGGAACCGGGCTGGGAAATGTAACTGACTAGCAAGTGAAAGTGGGTGGTAGGACAAGGTATGGAGAGAGGAATAAAGAGAAATGGAGGCCATTGTGGTAGTCTTTGTTTTGGAAACATTCCCCCACGCCTTCTACAATCCTGGAGCCCTGCCCTTGAGTTCCTAAATCGAGATGTCAGTGTCCCCTTCTTGTCACAAGGCTTCCTTTTGTTCCTTGGCAATGCCCCTGCCAACAGGCCCCATCTGGTTCTGTACCATACACTAAGGTCTGGAAGCTACACACTGCAAACCACACCCATCCTGTCTCTCTGCTCTCCCTGTTCCCAAAGGAGCTCAGAAGCTCAACCCTGCTCAAACTGAGTCAGAGTCAAGACCTGGGGGTTCCATTTTAGGCAGATCAAGGCCTGTGGCCCAGGGTAGGGCAGGAAGTCAGCCAGGCTCTAGATTCCACCTAGGGTTCTGAGGCTAAGGTCCAGGTCTTCCCAGTCTTAGGGGTGAAGGGCTCTAGATTCTCAACTGAAAATGCAAGAATAATGAGAAGCATTTGAGTGAGCTGAGTGAATCAGCATAACAAGGGAATGATTGGGCAAGGAGGGAGGTGTGCTGGCCCCCAGACTCAGGTTACTCAGACTTGGTTAACTCCATTCTGGGCTCTTCTCTCTCTATTTTCCTCATTGTGATCCCAACCACCTGCCCCATTATGACTCGGTTTTCCCCTCCCCCGCCAGAGGAGTCTGTCTCCTAGTGAGTATGTGGGGGTTGGGGGGCCCGGGTACTCCTGGGACCCCAGGCCATGGGTGAGCAAGCCTACCATGGAGCCCATGTATGTATGCTCTGGCACCAACCCAAGGAAGTGCCAGGACTTAGGAGACACAATTCTTCTGATTCTGGGCAGCTTCATCTTGCTCAACGTTGGACTCAATGTGGTGACTCTGGTCAGGGCGGGGAGTGAGAAGCAGGAATGGAGGATTTCTGGGGTCTTGAAGGGGTGAAATGGGAGGGTTACTGGGATGTGGCCAGACAAGAGTTGTACTTCAGAACTCACTCTGCTTTGGAACTTTCTCCTCCCCTGCTTCCCTCAGCTCTGGAGGCATCTGAAGGGCTTCTTGAGAATTCTTGTCCATCACTTTTTCCCTAAAGGTGAGTGGGCTCTGGCAAGGGCTCCAGAGATGTGGGTTTCTCTCTTTTCTTCTCTCCTTATCCCTGCTATCAGCTACTCAGGCACTCAAGCCTTCTCCCATCACCCCTCTTCCTTCAGGCAAGGAGATCAGCGCTCTAGGCAGCAGGCCTGTGTGCGTGCGCTGCACTGCAGATCCCAAGAACCTGTGCTCAAGAGTCTCTTCCCGCTTCCATCGTCACCACAGCTTCCTCTTCAGGCATGCTAACCACCACGACTCCTGGATACCAGACACAAACGGTGAAAAGGCTTCTAGGTGCTGTGCAATGTCACCTCAACGTGGACAAGCTAGGGCTCCCACAGAGGCTCCAGGGGGACTGTGGAAAGAGGGAGCTGGGAAAGCACCTCAGGTCACAGCCTTGAAGGCCTCCTTGCCCTCCAAGGCAGAGAGTGCTTCCCAGTTCTGGAAGATGAACAAGTTGGACATGGATCTGTTCTCTTTACCCCAAGAGAGAAAAACTAAGACCTCAGACCATGACCCTGCCTATCCTCCCATCAAGGCCAAGACCCAGTCCTCAGCCCATACCTCAACGGCCTGTATCCCACCCCCTACCCCAGACTCTACACCAACGCATGTCCCACCCCCTACTCCATCTTCTACCCCTACACATGCCCCAGCCCCTATCTCAGCCCCTACCCTGGCTCACAGCCAAGCCCACATCCCAGCCCATGCCGCAGGTCCTGCTCCAACCCATGCCCCAGCTCTTATCCCAACACATGCCTCAACCCCTACTCCAGCCCAGGCCCCAGCCCACACCCCTGAGCATTCCCAGGCCCACAGTTCTGAGAACACCTCAGCCAATACCCCAGTCCACCCCCAAGCCTATGCCTCAGCCCACTCCCAGAACCATGACCCAGTTCATACTTCAACCCAGGCCTGGTCCCACGCCAAGGCCCATATCCCTAAGCACATATCAGCTCAAGCCTCAGCAAGTACTCTAGCCAATTCTCATCTAATTCATTCCTATGCCCACACTCCAGTTCCTGCCCTATTCTCTGCCAAAGCCCCTCCCCGATCCTGTGCCTCAGTCACTCCTGCCATATCCCCTATCCAAGCCCCTGTCCCAGTCCATGCCTTGACTACCACTTCAGCCTCTGTTCCTGTCCCTGCCACAACCTCTGCCCCAGTCCTAACTCCTATTCCTTCTACTCTGGCTACCTTTGGTCCTAACCACTCCACTGGTCGTGTAGTCTATGATGCCCGCAGGGTAAAACAGAACATCTTCCACAAGTGCAATGCCCAGAACTCTGGGTATTCCAGAAAGGACTTGGGTACCCTCTCTAGGCCCCAAGAGACACAGGGTCTGGAGAGTTCTGGTACATCTGAACGGACACCAAAGCAAAATGTTGGGGACAGTCCTGAGCCTCCTGCAGAACCTATTCTGGGCTACATGGAGTTGGGGAATATGGAATGGAAGGTTTCAGATGATGCCAAAAACAATTTCTCCCAGACTAAGACCTTCCCTTACTACAGCTTCCATCCTTGCAGTTCAGAAAGGAAAAACACAAATTCTAAGGCTCCAGTATATCCTAAATTTCTGATCTATACCCAGGATGCTGCTCCTTCTAAACATTGCTTTCACTCTCCAACCACTGCCCAGAGCTCACTGCCCACACTTACTCCACCATGCATTCTTTCTCTGCCACTTGTTTCTCCCAAAGCCTTTGTCCTAACTCACCCTACCAACCACCAGAAACCCTCCAACTTAGCACAAAACCCCACCTTTCTTCCAACCTCCAAGTCTCCTCAATATGTCCCCTCTTCACACTTTCCCACCCCTCCCCAGTTCTCCACCATTTCCCAATCCCTGATTCAATCCCCCGAACTTCATGATAATCAAGGTCTTAGCCAAGACTCTGGCTTCCAAAGGACTCCATGCCTTTCAAAAGACTCCAAAATTCCCAGGAATCCAGGTCTTATCCAAAATCCAGGCCTCAACAATAATATAGACCTTGCACAAGATCCAGGCCTCCACAAGAATCCACATCTTGCTCAAAATCCAGGCCTTCACAAAAACACAGGCTTTACTGAAGACCCTGTTCTCTGCAAGAACCTCAGCCCTTCCCAAAACACTGGCCTTAACAAGAAATCAAGCATTACTCAAGATTGTGCCTCCCAAAAGAGTCCAGGTCCTACTCAAAATGCTAGTGTCTTTAGGATCCCATGTTTCACCCAACCCTCTGGACTCCAGAAGAATACACCATTTACCCAAACTTCTGACCTTCAGGGGAATTCAGACTTTATACAAGACTCTGGAGTCAGTAGGAGTGATGAACTAAACCAAGACACTGTGGTCTACAAAAGTCAAGACCTCTCTCAAGTAACAGATCTTGAAAAGAGTCCAGGCCCTTGTCAAGATTCTGGAGGTAACAAGAGTATGGGAAATATCCAAGATCCAGGAGCCCATGGAAGCCTAGGCCTTATCCAAGATTCTAGAACACAGAAGAACCCATGTTTTGTCCAAGACACTGAAGTCAACAAAAGTTCAGGACTTATGCAGGAATCTAGTACCCACAGGAACCCAGACCTTGTCCAAACCTCTGGCCTCCACAAAGTCTCAGGCCTCACTCAAGACTCAAGAGACTACAAGAATCTAGGCCATACCCAGGATTCTGGAGTGAACAAAGTCCCAGGTCTTACCCAAAATTCTGATTGCCACAGGAGTACAGATCTTCCCCAAGCCACTGAAGTTGGAAAAAGATCCAAACTAACCCAAAATGTTGGAGTTTACAGGAGCCCAGAACAAGGCCAAGATTCTAACCTCCATAAGTGTCCAGGAATTAATCAAGATCCTGGCCCTCAAAAGGATGCAGTAGTTGCCCAAAACTCTGGCCTCCCCAATCCTCCCCATCCTGACAAATCTGGCCTTCACAAAGATCCTGGTCTCCATGAGAATCCAAGCCTTGCTATAACTACTGACTCAGTCCAAGTCTTAGATACACATCTGACCCCACAGTCAACACCGTGTTTGAAGAAGTCATTTAAATATGAGACAGCTCCTCAGAAGGAGAGTGTAGAGCATCATGTATCCTGGGCTTCTGTCCCAAACAACCAAAACTCCTGTCCTTCCAAGGTCCAGCTAATCTCCACTGGCCTGCAAACCTTTTCAGAGGTACCTGTACTAGTTGAGCTGCAGCCATCCTCCAGACAGGCAGGCAGCCAAGACTGGGTATACCACCCTGTGGATACAGTTCCTTCAGCCTTCCAGAACTATCGCCAGATGTCTATGCCTCCCAAAATCAACTGGAGGCCCCAGTGCCCTGGACCAAGCACCCGGATAGGGCATGTGGTCTTTGATGCTCGACAGAGACACTTAGCAGTGGGCAGGGACAAATGTGAAGCTCTGTCTCCCCGGCGCCTTTGCCGAGAGGCACCCAGCAACTCAGGGGAGACCACCAAGGAGTGGGGATACCAGAATGTGATGAGACCCTCAGACAAAGAGGGGACAAATCAGTAATAAAGAGAGAAGAGAAATATTCTTTGGTTTTTCTAGGACATCCATTCCAGACCCATCCTTGATGGTGACCACTGAAAGTCTAATGAGGACTAGAACTATCATGTCCCTGCTACTACTCCACAGATCCTTAGCCAAACCCATTATTCTCCAGGCCCCAGACCTGCATTTACAATATAGTAGCCCACTAGCCAAATGTGGCTATCAAAATGGCAATCAAAATTTAAAATTATGTTCCTCAGTCTCACTATTTACTTTTTAAGGGCTTAAAAGCCACATGTGGGTAGTAGCTGCTCTATTGGACAGCACAGATTCGGGATGTTTCATCATCACAGAAAATTATTCTGTTGGATAACAATACTTTAGAGTTTAAAGAACCTTCCTTCCCCTTGTCATCCATCCCAACATTTTCAAAATACCCAAAGCGTCCAGAGAATGTTATTTCTTTTTATTTTATTTTACTTGCACCGGGGATTGAACTCGGATCTTTGCACTTGCAAGACAGGCGGTGGAACCACTGAGCTAAATTCCCGGCCCAAGAATGTTATTTCTTTTTAGGCTACTTTCTCGGGAGGGAGATGTAGGGATACCCACGTCTGGTTACTGCAGATTCTGATAAAGAGCCCAGTTCTTAGCTATCTAGATCTGACCTCTTAGGTCACCACTGGATGTATGGAAACCTACATTCCCTAGTTCTAGGCTGTCTTGGTGCTCTCAGTTCCCTAGTCCTGGTGGCTGGGGGAAAAGGGGTTTGTCAATGACCTTTGAGGTCCAACCTTCCCAAATTGAGCTCTGGTTTCAGGAATTCGCTCTTTTACAGGCCTCTAATTTTTCTCTGCTTAATTCTCTTGCTTATAAACTTAGGCTTATCCCACTCTGAAAATAAACCATGTGCAGAAGGAACGTAAGAAGTCCTGAGCCAGCGATGCATTAGTCTAATCTGTGAGCTTGCTGCTAGTTTCTTATCCTCTGTCCCAATATTCCTGTCTATGATCAAGCTGTGTTCTGCCCTTATTCTGGTCCCTGATAGCATAGGCTACTGAAAGCAATTTCCTGCCCTTGATTATTTTCCATTGCCTTGCCCCAGCCTAGCTGAGAGTTTCCTCTAGACTTGATTTTCAGTCCTGATAATTCTACAGTGTACATACAGCTATAAAATTCTTTTTTGGGTTTTTTTTTTTTTTTGAGAGAGGGTCTCACTCTGTAGTTGAGACTGACCTGGAACTCACTATGTAGCCCAGGCTGGTCTTGAACTCACAGTGATCTTCCTGCCTCAGCCTCCCGAGTGCTGGGATTACAGGCGTGTGCCACCATGGCCAGTAGCTATAAAATTCAGAAGTGCTTATCCTGCTATAACTCCTGCATGTCTGAGATGGACATTACTGTTATGTCTGTCTCTTCTATGAGTCAGATGTCCATTCCTGGATCACCAGGGTGTTCTGTCTTAACATTACCACCACTAATTCCAAGAAGAACCCTCCACCCAGCCAGGAAGGCCCTTTCCAACACTTGCCAGATTCAGCTCTTGGACAAGTGTATATCTTTCTAAGTCTTTCCATCCTCCAAATGAGAGAAACTCATAATTTCATGAAATAATGCTCATATCTAAGTAACCAAGGCTCCTCTATTCACATAGGGGATGCAAGGCCCCTATTTCTCCCCAGGCCCTAGAGTGTATCCATTATGGTTTATTATTCAGATCTATCCAATTAGCCCTCTATTCCAACTCCCAGGAAGGTTTCTGACGGATTGACAAGACATTAAATAATATACCGCTATAGAAACTACAACGTCCATCAGGCATTCCTTCAGCGGAACAGGAAAGGATGTTGGGGCGTGACTCCAATGCTCCGGGAGGGCAGAAAACGAACTACAACTCCCATGGTAGCGCGAAATCTCAGCAGAAAACAGTCAGAACTCTCACCCAAGGCGGGATATTCCTGGAACCACCCCTTCAACCTCCAGAAAAGGGCGTGGTCGAAATCGAGGGGCGTGGGCCTCATCAGGAGGAAGTTACCTGTTGAATTTCCCCGTCCTTTCTCTTACCGACCTTTATAGTCATTCTTTAGAGGGAAACCGCAGAACAGTAAGTCTCCTCTGAAAAAGAGGTAAGGGGAGGTACACAGGGGCGGCGACTAAGACTGGCTCCTGCATTCCGTAGGAGAGGCCCAACAACTACTTTTTACCTGCTAAGCCAAATAAACTGATTTGCTAGGTGGACACCTGCATATGAGAAAAGGAGGAAGAGGGAGGTACTGTATTTGTTCATTTTGAAGACTATACCTAGAATCTATCATCTGCAGACGCATTTGTGGGACTTGTTTGACCTCAGAAGGAGTGAAGAACCGGAGCGACTTTAGTAAGCAAAAGAAGCCTGTCTTGTGTGTTTTGCCTAGACAAACACTCTAGAGTGGTAGCATGGCTTCCGCTGTGTGGGGGAGTGCCCCCTGGTGGGGTCCGCCGCCCCCAGCCCCAGCCCGGCCGCTCACGGACCTCGATTTCTGCTCGGGGGCGCAGCTGCAGGAACTGACCCAGCTGATTCAGGAGCTCGGGGTGCAAGAGAGCTGGAATGACGGGCCTCAACCGGGAGCAGACCTCCTCCGGGCCAAGGACTTTGTCTTCTCATTGCTTGGTAAGTAACCCTTCATCCCTGTAGAAACTCGCAGTCCTTAGCCGTGCCATTCCCCACCCCAACTTTGGACGATATCCTATCACTTTTCTTCCTTTAGGTCTAGTTCACCGCCAAGATCCCCGTTTTCCTCCCCAGGCAGAGCTTTTACTACTTCGTGGTGGGGTTCGCGAGGGCTCCCTGGATCTGGGGCATGCACCCTTGGGTCCCTACGCCCGCGGAGCTCATTACGACGCCGGCTTCACTCTCTTAGTCCCAGTATTTTCGCTGGACTGCAATGGGTCAGAGCTGCAATTGGACCTAGAATCCTGTTCCGCATGGCTCCGCCTCCCAGAGCTGGTTCTGGGAACCTCCGTACTGGAGGCGTGGCAGGATTGCCTGGGACCTCCAGCCCCAGGAGGACGTGATTTGAATCACCATAGCAAGAGCGAAGGAAGCCCCAAGGACGAGCAAAGCTCGGTGGTCCAGGCGCGCAGTTACATCACTGAGTCTGATACTCAAGTATTTTTGGAAAAATCACCTAATGACCTTTCGGGGCCAGAGTCGTCTCAGTATGACGTCACCCACCTTGGCTCTTCCGAACCATTGCATGAACTGAGTACTGAAGTCACCGAGGCAACCGTCGAAGGTCTAGTTCCACAGCCGTCGGAGGTTCAAGAGGCGTGGCCCACTTTGGGTTCATCCCAAGTGGCCGCCTGGTTCTTTAGTACTCTGGCTACAGTTGCCGAGACCCTCATTCCTGTACCTGGGGCCCCGCGCCTGGTGCACGCAGCTCGCCACGCGGGCTTTACCACAATCCTCCTGGCAACTCCGGGACCCCCGCGGCACCTATTGCTCTTTGACTTGATCCCGGTGGTGTCCGTGGCAGGCTGGCCCGACGGAGCTCGGAGCCACTCATGGGCGGGGCCTCTGGCCTCGGAGTCGGCCTCCTTCTACCTGGTACCAGGCGGCGGCACCAAGCCGGACGCCTCCAGCTGGCA